AGTACCCAAGTTAGCAGCAAGAAGCACACCAAGTATCACACGGATTTGCAAGGAGATTACCACGAAGACGAAGACACCCACCACAACCATCGTCGCAAGCAAACCTCCCAACCTGATGTGAGCGATCTGTCCGATTCGCAAGGTGCTGCATCCAAATCTACAAGTTCCCGGCACCAATCGGGATCCAATAGACGACAATCCTCAACCGCCCGTTCCAAAAAAGGGAAGAAAAGCCGTACGGAGCGTGAACAAACTGTACCTGGTCCAGCTGGCGAGCCCCTTGACGAATCATCACACTCCGCTAGAGATCGACATCGCCTCGAACAAGCCAACCGCAACATGCCTCCTGCCGATTCCACAAGAAAGAAGAAGAGCTCTTCCAATGGAGGATCTTCCATTGGTGGCAAGTCCCGTTCGGAACAGAAGAGAAGTGGAAAAGAGAGAAGGAAGAGCGACAAGAGCAAGAAACAACAAGAAGAACAACTCATGGACCTTGAGCTTTCCACTGATGATGAGGAGGATGAGGATGAATATTCCCACGATTCTACAGCTAGCCGATTCTTTCCAGTCTCCATCCAAAAAGGAGTTTCAGAAGTACACCAGGAAGCAGATGGAAAAGGAGTACAGGATGCAGAAGGCTCTTCGTGGTCAAAGCGAACCTACCACTGACAAGGCTCCGCCACCAGCGTCAGTGAGTTTGGGTGGTTCAGATGCAAGTCCGGATAAAAAGTTTGCCTATTCGGAAGGTGGCGAGTTCAAGATGGGAGACCCTAGCAATGAAAAAGACAACATGTGGATTGCATTGTATAACTGCATGCTTTACGAGGTGTATCGCCTGGTCAAGTTCATCAATGAACAAGAACAGAAGGAACTCTTGTGCAACTTGGTCATGGATAAGTTGGGCCACCCCGCATTGACCCTGACCGGCAATGCAAAGAAGGACCGACGTAAGCAATTGGGTGGTTTTGCTTATCAATTGCCATGTGCACCTTGCAGATCTCACACCATTCGCCTCCCTTTCTGCATGCTGCTTTCTTAGGGATTCAGAGGAATCGCGAACAGTTCAACATCCTTTGGCGGAAGCAGGTCTGTCGTCATCTGAACAAGGCCCGCAACTATGTGCAGAGCCAGTGCTTCAACCATGTGAAGAAGTTTGTTGCGGAGAAGGGGACGGCTGACTTCCCCTCCATGGATGACATCTTGAAGATTATGAACCGAGACAAGGTGTTGATTCCCCCAAAGGAGGATGCCACTGATGAAGAAAAGGCTGCTCATGAGGACCTGATGAAGAAGGCTGTGTGGTGGAGGAACTGCTTCCTTGCACAAGTGGCTGTCGCATCCAAGTGGTGGAGGCAAGGGATCCGTGTGCATAGCACCATTTCGGAAGCAACATATGAGGGTGAGGTTTGCGCGCCTCCCAATAGGGAAGCTATGGCTGTCCTCTTTTTTGAGAATGGCACCACTCCGGATCCTGATGCAAGGGATAAGGAAGGCAATCTTCTGAATTTGCCAGGAAAGTGGCCTGCCTACTTTGACTTGACAAACAGGTGCAAGGAGAAGAAGGCGGTCCCAAGGTCCAAAGCAGAAGATAAGAATGGGAAACATGATGGCCGGTACTCCAATGGCAAGGGTGGAAATTGCGAATTTGGAGGGTGGACTGATGCCGGACTTGCACGTTTTGAGGAATTGCGGCAGCAGGTTGTGGATTCAAGAGCACAGCCTCATGCTCAAGAAGTAGAAGAGGCCATCCTTGCACGAGTCCGCATCGATGGCTTTGGTATGGATGGTGAAGATGATGGTGAGCCCCCCAAAAAGAAGAAGAAGAAGACGCCGTCCGGGGTGAAGCTTAGCTTGGGCTTGTAGGTGGCCAAGGTTCCCAAACTAGAGCCAAAGGCTGCCATTTGGCATGCTACGCTCCCAAATCCAGGGGGTCCTTTGCCTTGCTTTCCCCCCTCATTCCTTCTCTTTTGGCATGCTTCCCCCCCTCATTCCTTCTCTTTTGGCATGGCTACCATGGCGGCTGTTAACTCTTCCGTCATTGTTTGGTTGCCTCCCGAGTTGCTGTTTTGCATCCAATGCCACCCTGTTTTCTTGCCGCACCTTGTCTATCGATGCGATGTTCGGTTACTTATTCGGTAACCTTTTCTCTGGCAAAGTTCTTTTGTTCAATCCTTCCCTCAGTAAGGAAAGGCTCTCAGTCAGTCTGCCTGAGATCTACTCAGGACGGTCTTGAAGGGTAAGCACACAACAGGTGCAATAAAGTGCTACAGATGCAATACTCACTCCTGGTCAACAGGAACACTTTATACTTATGTTAAACTAGTAATTGTGAGCTCTCAGGGCTCCTAAAGTCAACTACGGTGTCAGGTTTCGAGTGCCACGAAATGGGGCTACCGTGGTGGCCGAAAATGCACTTTCGGCTATCTTTCGGCCTCCGAATTTCCTACCGTTACATACCAGACAACCAAATATCATCACATAAGGACCTTCTTAGGCCATCTTCTCATAATGGGCTCCAATACATAGGAGTCAAGCACAAAGTTACATGGGCAGCAAGGCCACAGGGACATAGAACAATTTAGTCTTGTAAAGCCAAATTTTGGCAGCAGGGCTGCCATACATTGTTCTAGAGTGACAGACAATCTGAGAAACCAGCACAGTTGTAAAGACATTCAGAGACCAACACTCTGACAAACCAACAGTGCTGGATTCACATCATGTGGCTCCAAACCAAATCCTGTCACTCCCCTTGGGTTGGTGGCACAGGCACATAGAGTCAAACATACACAGTGTAAGGTGGGCACTCAATCATCAAATCGCCCATACAGTACCTGCTTGCAGAGCCGGTACATCTTGTGGGGTCCAAGAGGCTTGGTCCCCATATCCGCAAGGTTCCATCCTGATGCGATCTTCCCAACCCTGGCAACACCAATGGCAACAGCTTCTCTGCACTTGTGGTAGGCACAGGCATGGTGCTTCTTCTTGAGGGAGGAGGATGGCAACTGTAGGTTGTTGACAACTGACATGTTGTCAACCAAGATGGAGGTCGGGGTCTTCACTTCAACTCCCAACATTCTGGCCTTGTACCTCATGGCAAGGGCAGCCTCAATCCCAATCCTTGCTGTGACCAACTCAGCCCCATAGGTGGAGCATTCAATGGTGGCCAACCTAGTAGGACTTGGTGGGCATCTGTCCGAAGAAAAAGAACACTCCTTCCCTATACCAATACACAGTTCAGACTACTGTGGTTTGGCATAAGAACGATCGTGGTTCCCTTGTTGATAGGGGAGCCAATGGCGGGATCCTTGGTAAGGATGCTCGCGTCACGGTTACACACCAACGACAGGTTGATGTCACTGGCATTGACAACCATGAGATGAATGGTCTGAAGATCGTTGATGGCGTTGGTAAAGTCACCTCACACCGAGGTCCCATCATCATTGTGCTCCGCCAATATGCCTACCATGGTATCAACCGTACCATCCATGCATCTGGTCAGATCGAGCACTACAAGAACCGAGTAGATGATCGATCCCTCCTATGTGGTGGCAGACAATGTATCCACACCAACGATGGCTTCATCATTCCTCTGGATATTGTCAATGGACTTCCGTATATGCGAATGTGCCCTCCTTCTGACAAGGAACTTGAAACGCTCACCCATGTCATTCTGACATCTGGCGAGTTATGGTATCCCAAGGTTCTCGACTTCAGACACAGTGACCATGACGACTGGTACAACCGTATCAAACTCAAAGATGATGCACCGCCCAACTATGCTTTTGATTCACAAGGGCATTACAAACACCGTGAACCACATCACGCACCCACCGTTGAAGCAATCATCCCGCTAAGCAAGAATCCACTGAACATCAACCATGCTACATTTCTCGAAGCCTACAAGATTGTCTCCAACCTCAACCAACCGTGCATCCTCGCAGAATCAGTCTATTCTGCCTTTGATACTGATACGGTCCCATCTAAAGACCACATCATCATCCCCGTCACCGAGTCCACTCCTAAACCACCAGACTACCAAAAGTACAGCCCATTCTTTCTCCACGTTCCCGTTGAGAAGATTCGCCGTACATTTGAGCGGACTACCCAACACGCGTCCAATATCCAAGCTGGACATCACATCAAGCAAACCATTAAGTCACCTTTCCCGGCTCATAATGTATGGCGACGCAATGAACCAGTTGCTACGGATACTGTCTTTGCGGATACACCCGCCATTTGCACCGGAGGTCAAATGATGGCACAGATCTTCATTGGGCGTAAATCGCTTGTCATCGATGTATTCGGTATGTCTTCCACTGCGGACTTTGTCAACACCCTTGAGGATGTCATACGAACAAGGGGAGCAATGGACAAGCTCATCTCAGATGGACACTCAGCACAAACTTCCGCGCGAGTAAAAGAGATACTTCGTGCACTATGCATTGACGATTGGCAATCTGAACCCCACTACCAGCATCAAAACTTCGCGGAACACAGATGGAAGCATCTTAAACGCAACCACAACTGGTTCATGAACTAGCTGGCGAAACGTTGATCCCGAAGCCTGGCTACTGTGCATGCAATGGATAGGTGATGTTATGAATCATACAGCAGAGAAATCAACTGGATGGAGACCACCACTTGAAGTTCTCACTGGACAAACCGTGGACATCAGCATTCTGCTCGTATTCCTATTCTGGGATGTTGTTTATGTTCCGCGATACAAAGACCAAGGGTACAATGCCCAACCCGGACACAACAAGTCTTCAGAGATTCGTGGACGTTTCGTTGGGTTTGCCTGGAACGTTGGACATCAACTCACCTTCAAGATCCTCACCGATGATACCAAACAGATCATATGTCGGTCCAGAGTCAGACTTGCAAAGGAAAGGATCAACAACCTTAAACTCGATGTTGAATCAGGAGCAGTTCCAGAACGCATATACGTCAGGTCTAAAAGAGACAAAGAAGGCAATGATGCTAGACTGCCTACTATCGACATGAACCAGAGCCCTTTTGACCTTCCAGACGATGACGAAGAAGGGGAGATAGGGGAGACCACTCCAGAAGAGCCTACTCCAATGGACGAACCACCTCTCAAGGAGATGCCCCAGGTAGAAACGGTCAATGACGATGATGACAACATTGCGAACCATCAGAAGGACGAACCCGAGAAAGGATCATCTAGTGCGGAGGAACCATTCATCTTCAACAAACAACATATGAAGACTGACAATCCCACCGAATCAGGACTACCTCCTGAACAGATGATAGAAAGAACATTTCTCATGCCGCCCGCAGAAGATGGAACCCGAGTAAGAGCCAAGATCCTTGAAAGAGTCAAATACCACAAGGAGAAGGTTCAACAACATCCCGACATGATCAAGTTCAAATGCAGAGTCAACGACGAGTACGAGGAGATCGTAGCCTACAACGATATCGTGGACTACATTGAACAAGACCAAACTTGGGATGGCACATGGAAGTTCCGCAAGATCTTGGACCATCAAGGTCCCATCAGATCATCTGACAAAGAACGATACAAGGGTTCGCGGTACAACGTCCAAGTTGAATGGGAAACCGGGGAGATAACTTGGGAGCCTCTCACCACCAAAGACAAGATGGGAGTACATGAGTCTGATCCAGTCACGGTCGCCATCTATGCTGAAGAACATGGTCTTCAGCATGGTCTACTAGACACAGTTGGATAAAAATTACCGGGACGCGCAATGGAGACACCAAGTGGAGAGATGCCGAGATGACCGAACTCAAACAGATTGATGAATAGGAGACCTTCATCAACAAAGGAAAGGGACATAACCCTGGACCAGATTGGAAGAAGATCCGAGTGCACATGGTGTACGCAGTCAAGCACGATGGACGACACAAAGCACGGCTTGTCGCTGGAGGACATCTCACTGATACACCAGTAGACTCCGTCTATTCCAGTGTGGTTTCGTTACGTGGGATTCGTATCCTCACATTCCTCGCAGAACTCAATGATTGCGAAGTACGGGCAACAGACATCGGAAATGCCTACTTGGAATCGTTTACAGAGAAGGTGTACGTTGTTGCAGGACCAGAGTTTGGAGATCGAGAAGGATGCACCCTCATCATCAGCCGTGCCTTATACGGACTCAAGTCTTCTGGATTACGATGGCACGAACGATTCGCAGATGTTCTCCGTTCGATGGGATTCTTTCCTTCAAAAGCCGAATCAGACATCTGGATGCGAGACAAAGGGAGCTACTACGAATACATCGCTGTGTACATAGACGACCTCCTTATTGTCAGCAAAGATGCATCCAAGATCATCGCGACATTGGAAGGGGAGCACAAGTTCAAACTAAAGGGAACCGGTGCCATCAGCTTCCACCCAGGATGTGATTTCTGCCGTGATGAGAACGGAGTACTGAGTTACGCACCTCGCAAATACATTGAGAAGGTACTCAGTAACTACCAACGGATCTTCGGACACATGCCCAAACAAGCCTCATCTCCACTCATCAAAGGAGATCATCCAGAGACTGACACAACAGAGCTACTCGATATGGACACACAAAAGATATACCAATCCCTCATCGGTAGTCTACAATGGGCAATCCAAATCGGAAGGTTCGATATTGCCACGGCCACCATGACGATGTCCAAATTTCGGGCAGCACCAAGAATGGGTCACTTAGAACGGGTCAAGAGAATCTGCGGGTACCTTTCCAAGATGCAACACGGCATCATACGGATCCGAAAGGAGGAACCGGATTACTCAGCGATTCCAAAGAAAGAGTACGAATGGGAGTACTCATGCTACCATGGTGCCAAAGAAGTTCAGCCGCACAACGCACCGGTACCTCGAGGCAAACGGGTCATTCTCACCACATATGTGGATGCGAACCTCTATCACGATCTCATCAGTGGACGGGCAGTTACCGGAGTTCTACACCTAGCGAACAAGACTCCCATCGACTGGTTCAGCAAGCTACAGTCAACAGTCGAGACCGCAACGTTCGGATCCAAATATGTTGCAGCCCGTACCGCCACTGAGCAGATCATTGACCTACGAAGCACATTCAGGTACCTAGGTGTACTGGTCGACACGCCGGCCATGATGTTCGGAGACAACGAGACGGTAGTCAACACCGCCTCAATGCCACACTCAAAGATTCTCAAAAGACACAATGCGCTTTCCTACCACCGTACTAGGGAAGCTGTTGCTGCAAGTATCTTGAGATTTCATCATATCTCTGGATCTACTAACCCTGCAGATATTATCAGCAAGCACTGGGACTATACATCGGTATGGCCTATGCTGAATGCACTACTGTTTTGGTCAGGAGATACCAAGGATTGCGGTAAGAAACACTCAGAGTCGACAGTCGCCACTGAGGGGAGTGAAAGCGTTACAGTTCCTCCCACGACTCAGAGTATCCGTGAGTAGATTGAGTCATGCTTTATGAGTCAACACGATGGAACAGAGAACGCTGGAAAGAACACGTTCTCAACGAAACCAAAGGACACGGTAAACTGGAGTATTCGACAGGAGTAAAGCATCCTGCCAACGAACCGTTTCCCGCAGATACCACGTTGACTTCCGTATGAATCAAGATCAACTACCACAATGCATTGATCTAACACGCTACGAACTAGCTTTACTGATCACATCAATCAAAGCTCACAACACAGATTATGAATTACTAAGAAGCGAACTTTGCATTTACTTTGCACTCGTCTTGAATAGTTGCAGCTGATCTCGTTGGGTGGTAGCTACTTCTACAAGATCTCTCTATTCAAGTATAGTATTTCCTCACGTTAGCAGTGGCATTGGATGCAAAACTGCAACTCGGGAGGCAACCAAACAATGACGGAAGAGGTAACAGCCGTCATGGTAGCCATGCCAAAACAGAAGGAATGAGGGGGGAAAGCAAGGCAAAGGACCCTCTGGATTTGGGAGCGTAGCATGCCAAATGGCAGCCTTTGTGAAGAGGCCTGTGGACCACGTTGGCTTAGCGTGCTCCGGCCTGATGAAAATCCTGCTCGTCATCGGAGTCTTGAAGAGCAGCGAAGGAGTTGGATGCATCTCCAGTGCGAGACTGTTGGGATACATCGGAGGGGCGGTAGGAACTGTCAGAGCTCCTGGATTCGGATGAGCTGGATGAGAGCAGATCCTGTCTGTAACCAGATGGTGACATGAGGTTGCAGATAGATCCAAGAGTGCCTGTGGGCGTCGTAGATGGTTCCTTCTTCTTGGTCCTGCCCTTTCGTCCTCGAGGTTTGGAAGAGGTGACAGTAACGAATCCAGAAGAGTCTGGAGTGCCGTCAGAGACCGGTGTTGTTGTGGGGACCGTGGGGACGGATGCGGCAGAGGATGTCGTTATTGCTGCAGGTGCGAGCGCAGCAGGAGTCTGTCTGAGCACTCGGCGTTGTCGGACAGCCTTGCGGATTCCATGGGTGCCTTTGATGTGGCGCATGGAGGGGTCTTCCGGGAAGTCAGCCTCGCTTTGTGTCGCGACACTGAGGTCAGTGTCAATATCGGCTCCAATATCAGAGGAAGGATCGAGTTGGAGTTGGGGGATGTAGCATGGTTGATGTTCAGTGGATTCTCGCTTAGCGGGATGATTGCTTCAACGGTGGGTGCGTGATGTGGTTCACGGTGTTTGTAATGCCCTTGTGAAACAAAAGCATAGTTGGGCGGTGCATCATCTTTGAGTTTGATACGGTTGTACCAGTCGTCATGGTCACTGTGTCTGAAGTCGAGAACCTTGGGATACCATAACTCGCCAGATGTCAGAATGACATGGGTGAGCGTTTCAAGTTCCTTGTCAGAAGGAGGGCACATTCGCATATACGGAAATCCATTGACAATATCCAGAGGAATGATGAAGCCATCGTTGGTGTGGATACATTGTCTGCCACCACATAGGAGGGATCGATCATCTACTCGGTTCTTGTAGTGCTCGATCTGACCAGATGCATGGATGGTACGGTTGATACCATGGTAGGCATATTGGCGGAGCACAATGATGATGGGACCTCGGTGTGAGGTGACTTTACCAACGCCATCAACGATCTTCAGACCATTCATCTCATGGTTGTCAATGCCAGTGACATCAACCTGTCGTTGGTGTGTAACCGTGACGCGAGCATCCTTACCAAGGATCCCGCCATTGGCTCCCCTATCAACAAGGGAACCACGATCGTTCTTATGCCGAACCACAGTAGTCTGAACTGTGTATTGGTATAGGGAAGGAGTGTTGTCATCTGCATCGGGAGGTACCGCCGAAGGAGGGGCGTGACAGTGTACCCCGGAAGGTATGGCAATAGCCGTTTGTGAAGAGGCCTGTGGACCATGTTGGCTTAGCGTGCTCCGGCCTGATGAAAATCCTGCTCGTCATCGGAGTCTTGAAGAGCAGCGAAGGAGTTGGATGCATCTCCAGTGCGAGACTGTTGGGATACATCGGAGGGGTGGTAGGAACTGTCAGAGCTCCTGGATTCGGATGAGCTGGATGAGAGCAGATCCTGTCTGTAACCAGATGGTGACATGAGGTTGCAGATAGATCCAAGAGTGCCTGTGGGCGTCGTGGATGGTTCCTTCTTCTTGGTCCTGCCCTTTCGTCCTCGAGGTTTGGAAGAGGTGACAGTAACGAATCCAGAAGAGTCTGGAGTGCCGTCAGAGACCGGTGTTGTTGTGGGGACCGTGGGGACGGATGCGGCAGAGGATGTCGTTATTGCTGCAGGTGCGAGCGCAGCAGGAGTCTGTCTGAGCACTCGGCGTTGTCGGACAGCCTTGCGGATTCCATGGGTGCCTTTGATGTGGCGCATGGAGGGGTCTTCCGGGAAGTCAGCCTCGCTTGGTGTCGCGACACTGAGGTCAGTGTCAATATCGGCTCCAATATCAGAGGAAGGATCGAGTTGGAGTTGGGAAATATCGAGCACTAGGGACTCTGGATCATCAGCGGGTATCTCTGCAATAGGTGCCTCCTCAACGGGTGCTTCTTCCGCTGTAAGATTGGCCAAGAGCTGGCTGTTGTTCATGCTCGGTGGCAGCTTGACACTGACGAAGCAAGAGTGTATCGCCAGGTTGCCGAATCTGATGGTGTGGTGGTGCCATGAGTGGGCCAATCATAGGAAGTGCCGTAGGATCCAGCTGTGCTTCCAGAGCTGAGGAGATGCGTTGACGTGTCCAGAGGTCGAAGGGTTCATCGCATAGAACCTGCGGTTCGAAGGTGTGGTACCCTGTGTGATCCTCTTGGATTTGCTGTTGGATACTCGTATCAATAGCCTCGTATTGAGAGGTACCGTAAGCAAACTGTGAGAAATCCTGATCACTGGATGGGAAGATTGTTTCTCCATCGTCAAGTGCGGGCATTGGAGGATCCGCTTCGTAGGGTACGTCGAGGAGGTCCACCGGCGTCGTCGTAGTCTCACGAGTGGTTTGTGTTTGGCTGTCCCCGGATCCATCAGAGAGATATACGAAGGGCTGCCAATCAGGATCAATCTCTGGCTCGCTGAACAACATTTCGTGGGAGTAGGACTCGTAGGATGAGCGATCAACCTCGTGAACTCATACCTCGCGTGTAGCCGTATTGGACGGCTGTGATAGGACGGACGCGATGTCACCAGCGAAGGACGGTGGCATAGAATGCGTCTTGTTGCACGCGAGCTGCAACAGGTCGGTGTCCGTCTTGTTGGACTTGGTTTGGTGCGAGGACACTTC